ATACATTGAGTACAAAGCAGGTCATCATGTCAACTAGAATACAACCTAGAGACCAGATGTCAGACTTCTCAGTAAAAGAAAAACCAACTGCTTCTGGAGCCATCCAAGACTTGCTATCTGTTGACATAAGAATCATATGGTAATGTAGCTGACATTGTACTATACAGTTTTTGCTTGCACATGCATGAATCACAGGCAATTGTTTTATCTCTAAAAAGAATTTATTCTGCAGAGATTGGACATTTTTTACTGTTGATATGCCACAAGTCTAAGAAACAGTTTTCAACTGTGAACACAATTGATGCTGCAGGCGACCGCCTCTGAATATACTAGTCATACTTTAGAAGACAAATAGTATAATGCGGAGAAGGGGGAGGGAATATAATTTTTTTCCTCTTTGGCTGATTTTTCTCTGAGGACTAAAAATATGTACCATAACTGAATCTTTTAAAAATAAAGAGTAAACCAATTATCTACCTTCTTCCACTCTTATCTTCCATTTCAACTCATCTGTCATAAGTGTTTCTGTACTGAAGTCACTAAGCATGAAGGATGCTTCCCCAGTCACAAGGATGTTTGATGGCTTCAGATTTCTGCAACACAATTTTCTGTCAGCCTGTGAAAGCAGAGTCTAATGATACATAACTACAGGTTCCCAGCATCTTTACACATCAGAAGGTTGGGGGTTTTTGGGGGGAGGGTATGTAGGATAGTAATGAGGGGTTTAGGGTTTTTTTTGTTTGAGGTTATTGTGTTGGTTTTGTTTTGTTTGCTTTGTTTTTAAATATACAAAGTGATAATCAACTGAAATACAATTATTTTCTTTTATTGTGAAGTGCTTTAAAATTTGTGACTGTGACAAATTTATCTGAACATGGAATGCAATGGTTACCTCTTTCTTTAGATGCACAAAGCATATCTTCTCCATCACAGCCACCAAGAATGTAATAATTAACAGATCATCAATATCATAATATTAAAATCAATATTAGAATTTTATCACAGTCAAAAAACCAGAGAGAACACCTTGTTCAAATGGATAATTCTAGACAAAACTCAAGTCACAGAAAACTAATCCATATATGAAGTCCAAAAGTTCTACCCCCTACTCCCCCTTTGGGAACAGCAAAATTCACTGCCTCTGAGCAGCTGTGCTGAACCAAGTCACTGAAAAGAACAAGGACCTATCAGACAAAGAGAAGAAGATTTCTACTCACCTGTGGAGAATATTTTGTTTGTGTATATAAAACAAAGCATCCACCATCTGTCCCAGGAACTTTAGAATCACCTGTTGAGGGGAATAGACATGAAAGTGTAACAGATAGACTCACTTCCATGTATCTTTTGGAAGATAGCTTCCAAAACCACCCTTCAGCAAAACTGTGCTTTCAAGATTTTAGGGAGGACTTTGAGAAAGAGGGAATACAGAGGGAGTTTTTTATATAAAAAGCATTGAGACTGTCAGTTCAACCACATGCCCCTTCTGTACTTTTTACCACATCAGTTATTTTTTCTGACTTCTGCCTTTTTTCCATGATTACAGATGAAAGATCTCCTTGGCCTGAGTGCTGCATTACCAGACAAACGAACAGAGATGATATCTGTAATAAAAAATTACATCTAAATTGTCTAATTGTTTGCAGGTAATATCATATCCAGCAAGAAAAATAAAACTGAGCATTTTGTCAAACTGGTGGGTGTCGTGTTCACCAATACCAAGGCATTTTGAGATGATTAATCTCTCAGAGGAGACAATATTTACTTTCTTTTAATAAATATAAACCATGTTTGTTGTTTTCTAAAAAACCCAACACATTATCAACCATCTTATCTGAAGACACATGGGATAATTCAAGTCAAATATACACTCATAAAAACCAACACAAATTTTGCCTGAGCACTATATAAAATCTGCAGATAGATAAGTCTGGGCTTTCAGCTTCCTATAGTCCTCTATAAATGCAGGCTCGAAAATTAGTATCACACACTGATTCACATCAGAATCTGTGAGTCAGGGTGCAATACTACCATGTGATGGACTCCAACCCATGTATCTTCACAGCTTTTCAGCATGTTTATTCAAAAGCTAAAAAAGCAGGCTTGTTTTAAATCAAATCACCTTTTTTAGCATCTCACACTAATGACCTCAACATTAAACCTGCAAAAATGCTTACATGCCTACAACATTAACCACGTGTTCCAGTTTAACCAATCCTATTTCATTCTCACCTCATTATCCCAAGTCACAAACAATTCCTTGTAAGCACAGATGTTTGAATGATGAAGCTTTAGCAAATCCATTGCCTGCATAGAATACAAAAATACAAAGAGCACTTTCTATAGCTACACAGTCCTCCCCATTAACAGGACCTTACATAATATCCTAAGCCACTTCCTGACTCATTCACATTGCATGTCTGATCAAATTATTTCAATGTGCAAGCTCTGCTATATCTTTGCATGCACAAGTGTCAAGTTAATGAAAATATTTCACTAAGACTCTATTCAACGGAATGCTGTAATAGTCTTGTGAGATTCAAAGAAATAAACCGATCCATAGGGAGATATGTAAACAATCTCCTTCAGTTCCTAACATCCAAACCTGAAAACACATCTTAGAATATGAAGACAAGACAAATCTTCTAGTGTAGCCATTACTTCCAGTAACCCTTACAGAAGCTTGAATCTCAGAAAATGTGATGACACTAGTGACATGCTTATCTCCTTGAAGTTGGTTTCCATGTAGGGCTCTAACAATTATCAGTTTCACATCAGCAAATTTGCTGAAGTAAGGTAAAAAAACTCAACTTACTCTCCTATAGTTTTGTATGTGGCTGTGCAGACACAGAAAAACTAAGAGCCATGCTCCCAGCTGGCACAACTGCATTTATTTCAGCAGACACATACATCAGCAGAAAAAACGGATCAAACTTGATCAGTAAAGCCAGTCTTGGTACTTAAAGAGGTCACCTCTCTTGTGTAGGATGAAGCATCTACACAGACATGTATTCTCACTCATTTACAACTGCAGATGTCATGCATACTGGACACTGGGAGATTAATCCACCATCTGCTAATTCACATATTTTGTTGAAACAAATTCTGGTATTTTAATAGTATTTCTGACGTTGCTTCTCACTCAAGGGATTGAAACAAGTTCGCACAAAAAAAGTACCACAAAAGAAGAAAACTAGTCAAACCATTCACATCAAGAAATGTCCAACTGAGACATGAACATATAATGAAATAGAAATTGAGTTATTAATAATAAACTATAAACAGATCAAGAGTCTCCTTCTGCTTAAAGGACAAAAGGATGAGCTTTGCTCTTTATCTTGAGCACAAAACAAACTCTGAAAAAGAACTATCCTCTGAGAACAGCTGTCCATTCGAATGTACATATTCAAATATAAGAACAGTTAATACTAAATCCTGTCCTAAGCTCAAGCAGAGGGCAGGGAGAACCCTCAGATACTTCTACCTGATTTACATCTGGACTATTTACTTAGTTAATCCTTACAGATAAAAGACTTTGTTCTGTTAAGACTTTGGTCTTTGTGAGTGAAGCAGTAAAGAGAAACTGCACTGATACCTCCTTCAAGGCCTCATTTGCTTGCTTTTCTTCAATGCATTCAACCTGCACCAAACAGAAAACAAGGATGAGATTGTAATATAGAGACAGATGAACTTTGAGCCAGAACAATCTTGCCAAGATGACTGGAACTGCAAATTATGTATGAATTGGCATAAATTTTCAATGATAGCTCCAATCTCTAATGTTTGGAGCAGTCTAGTTGTTGGGAGATGGCCAGAAACAGAGCTTTTAATGAGTCTGTGACAGGTCACCACTCTTTTTCCTGCACTGTCAAAGTAGGAGTAAGCTAAGGTAAAAACATACTGGATGGACCCAAGTAGGCTGCTCCTCACTTTTAACCTTAATGTTCTGTAAACCGATCTGAATATTCTGTTTTCCAAAACAGCAGCACAGTAAGATGTAAGCCTACTCTTTACCCTGTGGTCAAGCTGCCTAACATGTTTGCCTCTGTTACTACCAGAAGGGCCCATGGAGATGACAAACATGCCAATAGACTCTTGTTTTCTTAGCAACCACCTTCTCACCTGCTTTATTACATACTTATTTTCCGCACCCTTTCCTGTTTTCAATTTGACTACCAGCATAGTGCCCAGGGCCCCGGGCTCAAGCTGCTCCAGCACCTGTGGGGCAGAGGAGACACACTGATGCGCTCACTCAGCTGCAAACAAGGCAGAAAACCCCTTCAAACAACTTTCCCACAGGCACCCTCCGTACAGCACGTACCTCCAGTTCCCCGTGGCAGGACCACAAGCCCCCCCATGCACACCCCAACTCTAGAGAAGCACACTAGGCCTTCCCTTTCCCTCCCTCACCTCCCCTCTACTGAGCACGACACCCCCTACCTCCCCAGGGCCACCCATACCCCAGCGCTTGCCTCCCTGGGACCGCACAGGCCCCTTCATCAGGGCCACTTACACCCTCACCAAAGCCACGCACCCCCCAAGACCCACCCACCCTCCCACCCCACGGCCATGTACTTGCCCAAAGGGTACCTACACCCCCCTCCCTAGGACCACGTAGACCCCAGCACCCCCCAGAAGGCTGGAGCCGCCCCTTTCCCGCCTGGCAGGGCCCGGCTCTGGGGGCAGCACCTCGTATTTCTCCATGGCTGGACAAGGCCCAGCCTCCGGGTGAACAGCTGGGGGCCCAGCAGGGCGGGAAAACCCGGGGGAGGGGGGCTTCTTCCTATTTCCCCCAAACTACACTTTTAGACTAAAAAAAAAAAAAAAAAAAAATATGGAGCGGGGGTGAGAAATGAAAAAACTCCAGTCTTCACCCCACCCCACCCCACCCCACCCCGCCCGCTCAGCAGCGCTCCCCTCAGCGGGGAGGGGGTGCGGCCCCTTTAAGCGCGCGGCGCGGAGGGGCGGGGCCGCCCCGCCCACCCGCCCCGCGCCGCCGCTGCCGCCCGCGCGGCGCCTTTAAGGGCTGGCCTACGTGGCAGCAGCAGCCGAGCGGCGCGCGGCCCGGCCCGGCGCTCCTCTCCCGCCCTTCCCGCCCGTCAGCAGCGAGGCCGGGCCCCAGCGCACCCTCACCCCCCCCACCCCTTCCTCCCTTCCCTGCCGGTATGGGCCAGAACGATATCATGAGCACCGCTGAGGACTTTGCGGACCAGGTGGGTGCTCGCCTGCTTGCCTTCCTTGCCTTCCCCGCCTTCCCCCTCCGGTCGGGCGGCCTTTGTGCGCTGGGGCCGGCGCTGAGGGGAAAGGGGGGGGTGGGTTAGGCCGCCGCCCTGAAGGTAGGCCGGGATATCGGCGGGGTCGCCGCTGTGAGGCCGGTCCCTGCGGCGGGACTGGGGGCTTCTTCGGCCGCGTTGCCTCTGGGGGGGGGGGGCCTGGCTCCCCGCCGGGGTGGGGGCGGCCGGCGCAGGCCCAGCGCCCGAGTCCCCGCGGGAGCGGCTGCCCCCCTCTGCCCTCATGCGGGCTCTGCGGCAGCTCTTGTGCAGCGGAGCAGAGTTCTCCTTGGAAGCCGGGTTTTTCCCTGCGAATGAATAAATAAGAGCAGGAAGCCAAGCTGCTCTCATCTTCTTGCAATACGTTTCGGCTGGCAAACAGAGCATCAAGGGATGTGGGGAAGTCGGGGTGAGGTGGTGGCGGTGACAGGAAAGCAAAAGTCTAAACCCTGACCGATATCTGGAAACCCATATCTGGAAAAAGCTTGACAGCACTGTAGTACTGTGCTTAGAACTGGGTCAAAAGGAAAGCAGACAAACTGATGTTGTCTTATAATCCTTTCTACCTTTATTTCAGCGGAGGCCCTTACAGATTTCTGTGTTAAATACAAGTTTTTGATCTCTTGTTATATGTGAGAGCAAGAGTATTTTGTGTGTAAGTAATTGATCTACTGGCGATAGAAAAATCTTCACCGTTATGGTGATTCATTTAATTGAAAATGAGACATCTAATCATATATAATAAGTTCTCTGGAAAATCTGATTCTGCTTGGTTCTACAACTCTGACTACTGAAGCAGTGTGAGTTGTGTGGTGCACAATAACACGTCGCAGCTCTGAGGGGGCTGTACTCCCTCTGTCTTTAACTGAGTTTCACTGGGAAAACCTGTTCTGCACTTTCTCCCCACCCCCAGATGGAAGACTTGTTTTAGAGGCAGAGCTTCTTATGGTGTGTGGAGTATTCAGTTTAGGGGGTGTCTGGATCATCTTTGTCATCCTCTGTTTACCTTGTCCTCTCACTCCTTTTAGAGGAGAAAGTAAACTATCAGTATAGTGTTCAAATTACTTGCCAAAATTTACAACACTTGTCCTGACCTCTTTATAACACCTCTCTATTTATTCCTGTGTGACTATTTCTAGATGTCTTTAACACCCCTTTTTCATGCTACTGAAAGCTCTTTTGTCCAGCTAAAATGCAGTTTGCTTCCTTCTGAAATGAGTTTTAAATGGTACAACTTTATTTGTGCTTGACCACATTCTATTTAAAGATGAGTCTTTCCTTTAACTGCAGAATTGGAGTGTTTGCATACATTTACCAATCAGATTGCAAAACAATTTTTACAGCTTTCCAAGTAACTAACTCTTTGGATAATACTGTTTTGAGCTGCCCCGTAGCTCAGTCAGATACTTTCAGTATTGTGTGTACTGCTAAAACTCAATATCACACCAATGTAGGAGTGGAGGGATTTACTAAACAATAACCTTTGGTACATATTGCAAAGTTAACACTTGGCATTATGGAAACTGTTAGTTCATCTTGGTTTAAAAGAAATACTTGGAACATTTGAACTGAAGTTATGTTGAAACTCCCCTTGATGGAGGCGGAGATAGTGAAGCTGGACAATGGCTGTTCTTGGAGCACAGTGTGTTCTCCATGATATTTTTGCTTTCTCCATTCCCTGTACTCGTGTTCAAGACCTAATGAGTCTTCACTTCTGTGGCCTAAAAGCCCTGTGGGAAAATGTTAAAGGTACTTCCATGGTTTATCAGTAAATCTCAAATGTTTCTTACAAAGGCGAGAATAATCTGTTCCTTAAATTCAAACACTAAAGTTCAACTTCTCAAATACTGTTATTTCCCTTTGAATTAGCAAATGATGCCTTAGATGCCAAGACAGCAGTAACAAGTGGGTCTTAATCCAGAGGTGAGCTAGTGCACTGTAGCCATGGTCCTACAAGGCAGCTAAGCCTGACAGCTAGCTGTCAGTGAAAGGGTGAAGCCGAAGTTCTCCTACTTCTCCCAAGGCTACGTTCCCCTTTTTTTTCACACTAGCACTTTTCTGTCACTAGACTGGAGAGCTGAACTGGCAGGAAACAAAATTGAGTTTATTTTTTTCTGTTATTTCAGTTATCTCACTGTTTAGATCAAGTGAGCACCCATGCTGGCGGTGGGATCACTTGTGATGAGAACTAGCCATGAGTTTAGTTTGGTTATAGCATGAGTTTGTAGCCTGCAGGTGCACAGTACGGCTGGCGAGCTGTTCTGCTTGGCGCTGTTGGCAGTTTCCAAGCACTGCAGCGGAGGAGACAGCTACTTGGTGGGTGTTGGGGGGTGGTCCTTCTGATTTCAGAGAAGACAACTTGGATATTGGGGAGGGTGGGAAAAGCTATTAAGGATTCTTAAAATCTAGGTGATACATAGTGCAAGTAAATCAGAATCTTGATTCAGAATGATGCCCAGCTACCCGCTTCGTGGATTGGTTTGTTTTTAAGCTCTGTAACACCAGCACAATGCTATTAATTAAATAATCAACATTCTCAGAAGTTAAGCCCATTTTTAGTGGTTCTTGTTAAAATATTATAAGCTAAGACCTTCACTGCAGTCACCATATACTGCTGACGTTGTAGTGAAAATAGATGTATCTGGGGCCTGTACTGATTGTTTAGGGTTATAGAACTGGCTGTCTCTCCTCTTTAATCCCTGTAAGAGGGAGCAGATCTCAAGCAACTTTTCTGCTGTCTGTAATAATCTTTAGGAATGTGGGTGCCTGGTATTTCTGCTGTTCTGAAAAAAACTATGGGCAAAAATGCAAGGAGACTATTGAGTCATTGTACTGCACTGAAAGGACTCTAAGGGAGGACCAGACTCTGGGGGTTTTATTTAATTTTCCAACATAAATGCTGATGCACATTGTTAAGCTAATTCTAACATCTCTGTATCATATTTTGCAGAAAACAGAAGGGAGAGGAAAACGTTTGTTAAGTCTGAATATTTTTATGTCTTATATTAAAAACTGAATTTGGAAACTCTTTTAGTAACATAGTCATGTCATTGCACTGATCCTTTATCATTATAAGCTAAATAGCTTATTCTGGTCAGGCTGAGAATCTTCCCATTAAGAGAGATAGCAAAATGCAATACATGGCTAATGAATCCCATTTTAAAGATTTGATTAATAAATAGCCTTTTGGAAAAGAGAATTGGTATAAAGCATGCTTCAGGCATGAAAAGCATTGTCATGAGAAATTTTCCTGCAATGAAAAACCTGATTAAGGCTGCTGGCAGTGTTCTAGTTGGTCAGAGCTTTCTTCTTGCCTTTTGAAATAAGTGGAAAATCTTTTGTTCCCAGTTTTCACAAATAACTTGTAGACAGTGATTAGCCCAATGTGATGGGTGTTACTCTTTGTAATTGTAAGGTGGGATCTCCTTAAGTGGATACATACAGGTTGATGAAAGGAAGTGATTGTTCTCTCTGCCAGATAATTGAGCATCCTACTGCAGAAAAGATCACTGGTGTCCCGGGCTGCTAGGCATCTCCCAAAACAAAGCGATCCCTTAAATGAATACAAGCTAGATGTTTGGAATATGCGTTTATCAGAAGCTCTAGGCTAATAATGCTATGCAGCCCACAGGAGGACTTTCTGTGTAGATTAGCAGACTGTAGTTCATCGCCATGATCATAACTTCCCTGAACCAAGAACTACATGTGTACACACACAGAAGAGGTTTCTATGTTTGGACAGAATATACCTCGGTGACAGCAAAAACTCCCAGCTCCTGGCTGAATATTGGTCTTAAAGTATCTGTTAATTATGCTATGGTATACACACTTTTAACAAAACAGACAGAGTTGTCAACAAATTTAGACTGTTGGAGGTGGGATATAGTTTAGAAAGCATGAAGTGTCAAAACAGAATTACTTTACTGCCTCTCTTTGGGCAGGCCTCTTTGAGTTTGAATATTTCAAGCTTCCTTCTGAAAAATGAATTTTGAGTAGAGATTTGATTTAGGCATCCCTGGATCCTCTTGTGCATCTCAGTTAAGCTAAGAGGAGCATTTAAATCTATCTTTGCCTTTCTAATCCTGTTAGAGGGGGAAGTGGCAACACAAAGCCCTTCTGGTGTATGTTAGTGACTTAGCTGCCAACACAGAACCAGCTGTTCTTTAAAATAGTTTACTTCAGCATTTTGTTGTCTTTTCTCAAGATGTTTTGCCTCTTGTAAGGAGGCAGTATGTGCTAAGAACAGTTGATGCAAAGCGTATAGCAGAATAAGCCATCCAATTACTCGATGTCATGAGTTTAACACTACCACCTCCATCAACCTGAGCAGTTTTGCTTTGGCTTATGTGTATTGTGCTTAGTGGAGTGTGTGTTTCAAGTCCTCTGTTGTAGTTGGATAGGTTTATTAAATGCTGCTACCAAGTTTCCTGTATGTGCTACTTTTTTCTGTGTGAATCATAAAGGAAATAGGAAGTGGTCTTGGGGTGCAGCCACATGTTGCTAGTGATGAGTAGGGACAAAACGAAGGTGTCTGATATTGTTAGTTCAATCCCACTTCTAGAAGTTTTCTGTTTCTTACAAGTTCCTTTGTCCTCATTTAACTTAATTCTGTGATTTGTACCTGAATCCTCTAATTGTAAAATCACTGGATGTCTGTTATGCTCTCTTGTTAGTGCATAATTGTTATCTTCCTTTCTTCTGGATCTTCATGGCTAGTTGTTCTTTTGGCTTGGATTTTTGTTCATACAGTCTGTTTCTGAAGCTTATTTAATTTGTGTGCTGTGTACAGGAGTTTCAATTTGTGCATAGCTCAGTAAATGCAGCCACATGAGTTATGGATGTCCGAAGATGATGTGTGTTATGATAAGGTTGCTTAGCACTGCAGCTGCCTTAGGCTTCAGTTGTTCTGACTTGTCTTAAACTGGTTGGATGTGCACACTCATGTTTAATAAATAGCATTCAATTCCCTCTATATGGCACAAGAACAGGTAAATGTTAAATGCCACCTTGGCTCCTTCACTTGGACTGTTGGCTGTTGCTTGGTTTCAGGGAAAGGGAGGATGAGATTAGCTCACGTGACCCACTTCAGAAGTGACAACAATGAGGCCTGGAGGCAGATACCTTCTCTAATGTTTGCTTCTTTTTCAGCCTTTCCACAGCAGTTTTGGTTTTGGTGTGGGTTTTGTTTGTTTGTTGTTTTTGTTTTTTTCTTTTCTTACAGATGCCCAGTGCTTGTCCTCTTTCATTTCTTTCTAGACCAAAGTTGCCTGTTCTGAGCCTTGACAAGGCAGACTTACTTTACAAACCACTTTTGGTTTGGTACTATTTCCAAAACAACTTTATCCTTAGTATTCCTCAGCAAGTTTGCCCAAATGTAGAGTGAAATCTGTGAGAGAAGAAAGCTGTAAACCAAGATGTGTGTCTCATTCAGTGACAAAGATCACAAAATTTCTTCTGACTCATTCATCCAATGGTTGACATGGCTTAAAGCCTGAAGTGGCAGCCCTGAATCAGAGTACAGCTGCAGTTAACATGCACTTGATTAACTTGAATCTTGACCCTTAGACTCTGGATGCGTGCAGTACAACTTGTGTAGTTTGTTCCAATATTAACTGTTTAATTAACAAGTGGGTTTGCTGGATTATTTTTTTTCTTGCAGTAATCTTCAGTGACACAGTAAGCAAGACTTGTCATTTGCTCGGGATTTGGAACAGCCTTTAGTATTTACTAATTATTTGTGGTGAGAATAAACTTTCAGGAATGGTTTTAGTCTTCATTTTCTATACTCCCATATATATTGCAAACATGCAGTGTTGCCAGAACTTTAAAAAAAAAATTATTCTGCCCAGAAAGAAACCAGTCAGCTATATTGTTGTCTAGCCTGAAGTCAGTGTAAACACTGAATTATGAAAGAAAAGGTCTGTGTGCCTTTTCTGTCCATTTTTTATAATATAGTTCAATACTGTCTGGACGATACCTATACGCATGTGGATTCCCCTACAGCTTTTCATGCTTGAAGTATTCTAATATTGCATAAACTGTGTGAATCCATGTGCCTTGCAACATATCGAACTTTGTGTGGGATAATGGGGTTTGTTAAATGCCGGCGACTCCTAGTTCTAACGCAGGGATCTCTGTGGAACCTGGCAGTTCTGCACGAAGGCTTGGGGCATGGGCAGTTACTTTCACAAGTGTCAACCTGCCCAAACTGCTCCTGTCATCTGAAGGTAGAAACCTGCTGGGTAATCTTGTAGTTAGTTTTAGATTATATTTACATTTGTTTCTTCCTAGATTGCACTTACTCAAACAGTAGTGTACACTGACTCCAAAAGTATCCTTCTAGTGAGCTGGCTAAGCTGGACCTGTGTGTGACACGGGCCAGCCAGGCGCTAGCTTGCGTTGGGGGTGACAGTGCAAATCCTACTGGAAGTCTCCATTAAGTAATAAGCAGTGCTCTAGGAAAATGGGTGACAGTTAAGCATTTGTCACAATCCAGCTTGTGCACCTCACAGTCCTATAGAGCATGCTAGTTTAGACCTGGATTGGCAATTCTGTATTTGTTCCTTTAATTATTGTAATTATACAGCAAACTAACAAGTGAGCTTGCAGGATGAAGGGGTATGTGGGACCAGATACATCTTGCATTCCCAAGAACTAAGGCTTGGCACTTGTTACATGATATAATTTCCTTTTAGTTATGACACTGAATTGTGTATATAGAAATGCCTTTTTTATTTCTGCAGGGGATGCTATTTTTAATGGTAGTAGAAACTGTGTGTACTTGCATAGAGGATAGAGGGTGCAATTTCATGCAACAGCTATGCTGATCTAATTGCTGCTGCTACACAAGCACATATGCTTTGTACTGGTGCTTTTCTGAGCCATTAGAGGGAAATAGCTTGGCAGAAAGTTTATTAATGTGTTTAATTTGTACAGAATTAGTCTTCTGTCAGCCTGATTCCCTGAACCAGTTTGTTATGGGGTGTTGAGTACCTGAGCATGGGGGTGGGAGTAGGATTGCCCTTTCAGCTCCTAGCTATCTGATAGTTGAGCTGTAACATGAAACCCTGAGATTAGCAAACTAAAACCAAGGTCAGCCTTCATCTAGTAAAAGCTTCATCAAAACACAGTTCCTATTACATAGAAAGGTGCTGCTGGATTCTGCTTTTCTTCTGGTCCTTGTCCAAAATGCTCTTGGGGTGGAGCATGACAACAGGTTTACCCCACTGCTCTCAGACTGGAGTGGAGAAGAACTTCATTAAATCCAAGTCCTAAATACGTGTGTATTTCTAGATGTTGATGACCCTTTGTGCAGAACTGCTGACCTCAGCATCTGCAGAGTGCATGGTTCTGTTATGCCTTGAGTGTCACCTTGCCTTCCTGCCTTGCTAATGATGCTGTCTGCCCACACAGTTCCTGAGGGTGACGAAGCAGTACCTTCCCCACGTGGCCCGCCTCTGCCTGATCAGCACCTTCCTGGAGGATGGCATCCGCATGTGGTTCCAGTGGAGTGAACAGAGGGATTACATTGATGGCACGTGGAACTGTGGCTATTTCCTGGCCTCCATCTTTGTGTTCATAAATCTCTTCGGACAGCTGAGTAAGTGGCTCTAAGGCTGTTAAGGTGGATGCCAGAGCACTCCAGTGTGTCTGCCACCCTGGCTCATGTAAGCATGGGATGCCTCACTGATTTCGTGATAGCCATTGGCAGCTCAGAACTGATAGTACTACATGGGCTGAATGAAATGAACTCTTAATTAACCTGTTTCAGCCGTTTCTGGAGGTAGTCTTAGAGAATTTCTTGTGAGACTACCTCTGAGTCAGAGATGCCAAGAATCCATTATGACAATCTATTTTCAATTCTGTGCATGCGTCTATAAACACATACCACACCCCCTGAATTCTCTAAATGAACTACTCGTATTTTCTTAAACAGGGCAGTGTTAAGACTTTTTCAACCTCCTGTGCTTATGGGTATTAATCTCAATGGCAAAGTCTTATCCTGCAGTTGGTACACTTAAGCCTGAGAGAGGTACTTGTGTCAAATTTTCAAAGCCCAGGAATCAAAATAATCCCAGAAGCAAAGCTTCTGTATGTGTTAGGTGGACTTAGGGTTTCAGACATGAAGAAAAGTAAAATTATTTTGTATATAGTATGTCCCTGATCTACTCTTCTTGATTGCTCTGCCAGTTTCTTGTCGTGTGTCTGGGGTTTTTTTACCCTCGTATTTGTGTAGAAAGTCAGCTTAATTTAATGTATTTACCAGTCCTCATGTTAAAGTGGCAAGGACTGTTAGTGTGTTGTTACAGAAAACCTAAGGAAGGATATAAACCAAAAGCTTTCAAGGAAAAGGAGTGCAGCATGTTTGCCCTAACAGTTTTCCCATTAAAAAAAAAAAAATTCCATGATTTGAGTTTTTTCTTTTTAACTTCTTTTAATACTTTAACACTGATAGCTGCTGTACAGTGCTGTGTTGGGGACTGCATTCAGCGTGTGCTTACCCTTTGTAAAATAAGGTACTTCTGGAATTATATTTTAAAATGCACTAAAACTTCCTGTTTCTCAAACTGATTTGTGCCAACGTGCCATTAAAATTTCTTGTCTGATGTTCTTCATGGCACAGCTGAAAAGAAATCAGTCTGCTCCGTTCAAGCCAAGTTAGCATTCCTGAAGCATCTTTTCCTGTGCAAGCCAGAAGTGTAACTGTGTTCAATTTCCCCAACTCAGGCGGCTGTATCCTGGTGCTGAGTAGGAACTTTGTGCAATATGCCTGCTTTGGACTGTTTGGAATTATAGCATTACAGGTAGGAGGCTTAAGTCTTCAGACCTTCTAAACTGTATCTTTCAAATCCTCTCTTAGCCCCAGTACTACCAATGTATTTAAAAACAACTTGAAACCCTGGAATTTCTTTCCTCCCTGGCCTAGTGCCAGTCCTCAATGGCATTGAACTGTTTCTTCTCATGTGCCCAGTAGATCCTTGGCTATAATTGCAAGTAGTCAGTTGGAGACATTGATTCAATACTTGACCTTGACCAGTTTAGCAGAAGTAACTTGCATTTTACCTGTATGGCAGTAGTGTGCCAAATGTGGAACTTTTGTTTTGCAAATGTGGCCTTCAGCACACAGCTTTTATAAGCCTGCCCCTGTCACAAAGGCTCCTAGCTAGTAGCATCTTTTCTGTTCAAAACTGATGAATTTTTGTAGGGACTAAAGCACAAGTCAAAATCTGGCTTCTGTTCCCTGTTTCACACTGACTCACTGGAATACACTGATGTAACCTACATTGTTTCCTTCAGCATAATGTACATCTTGAGATTACAACATAAATTCAGAACTTTAGTGTAATTTATATGGTGTTTTAACCTGTTTTATCCTTTGCCTAGACTATTGCATACAGCATTCTATGGGACCTGAAGTTCTTGATGAGGTATGCCTACTACTTAAAGTTTTTATCAAAACAGAACAGTAACTGTTGTCTGTCACTGCCACTCGCTGACAGAGGAAATTGTCTTTGTACATAGTATTGACTAGGAGGATTTTACAAGTGATGCATTTACATTAAACAAGAAATGACAACACTTAAAAAAAAAAAAATCAGTAGAGTCTGTGTTAAACCCTAGATGGCAGGCTCAGTACTGTAGAAGGGAAAGACTAATCCTAACCCAGTAGGATCTGAGTGTTTCTGCTACTAACCTCCTTGCTGAGAGCTCACAAGCAACTGTCTAGACTAAATCAGTGAGCTGCTATTATTTCCTAAATGGCCAAAGCAGCAGCTGTGCTTGTGCATGACTGAAGCCATTTTCTGAGAAAACTAAAGCATGTGGATATTAGAGTGGTTTCAAATCCTGAGTGATGGCTGGCTGTTACCCTCTCACCCTTCTCTGAGGAGGGCAGGGGGCAGCACAAGAACTATAATCTGGGCTTACTACAACCCTGTAAATGTGTAACTTCTGTTAGCAGTACTGCTGTTTTGTTTTCACAAGGCAACCTCTGAACTACTTTGGCGTATATGGCTAAGCCTCAGGTACAGAATAACTTCAACACAACTAAATTCATGCTGTAACAGAGGCTAAGCAACTGTGCCTGGGCTGTGGGTGCTGGACTTCCCTGGCAGGCTGTACACATCTGCACAGGCTTGTGTAAATTGTGTGTACAATGCTGCCATTTCAGCAGTGAACTCAAATGCAGACATGTATCACAAGGTGCAGAGTATGTCACTCCACAGTTGCATGCAGAGTCTTACAGAGTCGAAATTGTCAGATAAGACTTTAAATCTATGGAGCAGTGCAAACTGTAAAAAACTGTCTTTTTTTTTTTTTTTCCCCCCTGTTTCTGTCTTTCTTTAGGAACCTTGCCCTTGGGGGAGGCTTGCTGCTGCTTTTGGCTGAGTCACGCTCAGAGGGGAAGAGCATGTTTGCTGGTGTCCCTACCATGCGGGAAAGCTCTCCTAAGCAGTACATGCAGCTGGGGGGCCGTGTGCTGTTGGTCCTCATGTTCATGACACTGCTACATTTTGATATGAACTTCTTTTCTGTAAGTATCTGGGTGTAAAAGTGTGAGTTAAGGAACTAGAATACAGCACCAACTCCCAAATTGGCTGCAGGACCTGCTCAATGCTTGTCATTTAAGTCTATTTTAATAGAATTAATATTCAGAAAGTTATTAGATCATCTATGCCATAACAACCTGTTCTGCTGAACTTAGCCATGCTCTGTTCTGATGTTTATGTATCTATTTAAGACCCATATGTAAGCTTGTGGGTTTTTTCTTGCAGATTCTGCAGAACATTGTGGGCACAGCCCTGATTATCTTGGTGGCAATTGGCTTCAAGACTAAGCTGGCTGCCTTGACTCTAGTCATCTGGCTGTTTGGCATCAATATCTACTTCAATGCCTTCTGGACCGTCCCAGCCTACAAACCCATGCACGACTTCCTCAAATACGATTTCTTCCAGACCATGTCTGTAATTGGAGGGCTCCTGCTCGTGGTTGCACTGGGTCCTGGTGGAGTCTCCATGGATGAGAAGAAAAAAGAGTGGTAACAGGAATAGCAACACTTCTTGGGACATAACATATTAAGTCCAGAACTGATTCTCTATGGATTCAACAAAAACTGCCAGCATTTTACACGTACATGCCCCCTTCCTATTAAAGGCACAGATGTTTTGAATTTGATTTACAGTGGCACCAGTAATATAATAGTTAAAATCCTATTTCTTCAAGGAATGTTGCCTAGGCTTATTCTAACTTCCTAGATTTGGAACTAACCCAAGGAACCTGCATTTTGCTGATGCTTCAGTGAGTTGCAGTAAAACAGTTGCTGTCTTAATGTCAGCAATGTTTTAAAATTTGAAGTACTGTGAGCAGATACAGCTGTATCATTCAGTGTGCTGTTGGGTTCTAGCTATAACTAAAAAAGTGGATCCCCCTTTCTCACCCTCATCAAAACTGTCTTGTGCATAAGGATTTCCATTGCTGGTTATAGCATTGCTTATTAAGGTGAAAAGCAGCATCAAAAAAAAAAAAATCACTGTTATTTTGCTGCTGTGAGGCCTGTAATTCCATTTTGCTTAGCACAAGAGGAGGTCTTCCCTGCCCCCAAATAAAAGGCAACAAGAAAATCCTTAAAGTAGTTTTAGCCCCTCTAGGTAAGAAAAGGGAGAGGTTTTTGTAACATGTTCTAGTTCTGCTTTTGAGGGAAACAAGGGAGAATCCTGTATTGCTAAGGAGGAATCCTGTATGGCTAATCAAATTTCAAGAAGGAAGGGGGGGGGGAGAGATACCCCCTGAAGAGACAGAAGGTTAGATTCTGTGAAAATTGTGCCAAAAGAACTCTTTATTCAGCATTCTTTCCCCAAGGTTGCCCCTCCTCATTTCCCAAGAAGGGAGCCAAGTTGTGCTGCGGGTTCCATAATAAAAGCTCCTTTCTGCTATTAACCAGCTTCCATCCATATATGCCCCAAATTCATATCTGAATTACAGGTTATTGGTGAAAGTGTCTTCAGAATTACAGAAACTCCTCTTTTTCCCTGTCAATCTTCTAATCTGTAGTCTTTGCTTCTTAGATTCACTTCTGTCAGTCTCTCAGCTGTAGAAGTCCCAGCTGACTGAACAGCAGAAGAGCTGGGGTGCTGAACTGGAGTACAGCCCCTTCTCTGCTGTCTCGGCCCACACCGGAGGTGTGTAGGGAGGAAACATGGAAGTCAGCTGTGTGCTGCCATAGCCCCAGTTTTCAACTCTGTATGCAAACGGTTATAGCTGAAGAATGCAAGTGCAAAGCCTGTGCAGTGAATAAGCAGCCAGGGATGTAACTTGCGTGTTCAGGAGGAACTCCTCAGCATAATGGTGAGGAGAGAGGAAGGCCCTGTCTTCACCTCTCAGTGCCACGACCTCTGTGCCATGAACATGCTTAGTGCTGCTCAGAGGAGGCATTTTGTCCTCTGCTAGTCACCTAGGTGAACCTGTTTCACTAGATTATGAAAGAATTCTAGAAAGCATGAACCCTACCACCTTGCTAACATTATATTGATTCCTTGCACTGCTGTCTCCCTTGAGAAAGCTGCTCAACTGTTTGTTCAAGGAGTAATTCAGCTGAACGCCTCCAGCAGGAGCTAATTACCAGGGTCTCCTGGTAAGGACACTAACCTGGACAGTTCAGTTTAACGGTTGCTTTTTTTAGGAACTAGACTGAAAGAACTGATTGCAAATAGAAGAGCCCTGTTGGATGTCAAACCAGTGATTTTTTTTTTTTATCATATTAAGGGGAAAGTACCCTGTGTCATAGCAAGATGTGCTGCTCTTGAAGGAAATGAATGGGTATGTGAGGGTAGATGGGAGGGGAAGCCAGCATTTAAGGTCAGGTCACATAGAAAGCTTTCTTTTTAAATAGGTTTTGCAAGAGTTTTTACCTCGTGTTCACTGTGCCTGTTTCTTCATAGCAAACCAAACTGGTCCTGGCAGTGACGGATGGATATGCAGCACAGGATGCTTTTGCTCAGTGTCACTGCAGGTCCCAAAATGGTTTTAGACTACATCAAGGCAGCCATTCTCAGATATCTTAATTGCTGGTGATGTTCATAGTATTTATAAACGGAACAATAGAAACAACTCCTGTAAGCAGCCCTTAAGTTGGCTTTCTCAACTTCTTTGTGTCCTAAGTAAGGAGCTGGATGATGGACTAGTCTGAAATACTGACTGGTCTCCTCTGTGAAAATCAAGTCCCCTTTCTACCAAAAGACTCCAGAAAATGAACTCGTACTGTCCCTTGCAGCAGAAATATTTTGGTACTAAAGGGGCACAGTTAGGTGGAGGGCATTATAAGATATTTTTAGGCAGTACAATACAAAGACTTACTAACTGTGAGTCCTGATGCATAAGATTCTGGTTTTCTACATACACTGCTGTATTCGTGCATCTCCCAAAAATACAGTGACCTCTCCCCGTGGCTGAGAAGCTCTTACAAGCAGGATGTCAGCTATCACTTGGGTCTGCAAAGTGTTCTGGAATTCATTCTGAATATATTTTTGCTTTCTATGTGGAAAAAAAAAAAAAAAGTATAAATTCTCATTTTATGCTGTATTTTGTACCTTAGTTGTGTTTGAAAATGTTTTGATTTTTGGAAACAATCAAAATAAAACAATGGCATCTTTGTATCCACTTGGCGTGTGTGACTGGTGACACTCCACAGATAAGCTGCCTGGGAATGCCGGTTAGGGGTCTTGCGTGCTTTCGCTCTCACCTACCCCAAACCCTCTCCCCACAGAGGTCTGAGCAGGGGCTGCCTGTACTTGACCGCAGTTGTTAACCTTCCCTTGGTGGTGGTGGGAGGCTGGTTTGTGGCTATTGGAATACAACTTACTTCCACCCAACCGTTCCCCTCCCCAGCCAGAATGGGCAAACACTTCAGCCAGCCTTGTGCACCCTCTAGAAGTGTTACCCAGCAGGTTTCAGGCCACGTGTTTATCATAAAAATTTATTTGCCATGGATTGCTTTCTTGAAGTTCTTGGGTTTTCGATGATAACTCTTGAATTTCTTCTTTAAAGGGCCTGACTGTTTCTGGAGAGGAAAAAAAGTGGATCAGTTTGTTTCTAAAACCCGAATCCAGACCTGCCCAAGGTAGCTTAGAGAAGAGAAACTGCGGGGGGTTCACCAACAGAGATGGAACAAGCACAGCCCTGGTCGGAGCCAGCCAGGAGCTTTCCTTGCCCTCTCTTGCAAGTTGGTGCCCCTTTCTCTGCCCATGCATTAGATACAAACAGTGACCATCTCAGAGAAATGAACCTAAACTTCACTCAGCCTTCACTTTTGCTACAGTTATAAAGGATCCAGCCCCACCTTCAGGGCTGCTTTAGAGAGTTAAAGGTTTATCCACCTTTATTTACATAACATCTGTATGCTTCCCAAACTAAGGATCAGGGTATGTCCTACAAGGCAGGACCTGGCCAGCCCCTCAAAAGAGACAGAAAAAGGGTCTAGAAGGACCCTGTGACTTCAAAAGGGTTTAACTAGTGTTTGTGTGTATGGGGAGGAAGATAATGGAACCCACAAGACACGCTTCAGTCTCCCTGTTAAAGAGAGCGTGCAGCAGGATCCTGCCAAAGATGAGATATTTATACAGGCAGGAACATCCCTAGTTACCACATGCAGGATAAACATTTCCTGGTAGTAATTCACACCTCGGGATGCAAGTCAGTGGCTGGCACATGGAGAAAATCTATTCTCCTGAACAGCTTTGCACCTTCTGCTGGTTCTCAGCCAGGAATTGCTCAGACAAAACACCTCCGGGATGGGATCCCTGTTCCGCGCTCCCCTGCTGCTCCACGCAGCAGTGTGACTCCCACCTTTCCCCTTTTGTTGCCAACTGCTCTGCTGACATCCATTCTTCTGCTGTCCTCTCTGTTCACGTCACCGTTCTGCTTGGCCCGATCATCCTCACTGTCTGTTGCAAAGTCATCGCTGCCCCTCGTGGTTTGTGAAGCTGCTGGGCTTTTTTCTGGGAAGAGTGCAGCTAAAATAGAAAGATTAGCTCAGGATCAGTTCCCTGTGCACACTGGCTCTGCCTCCCCTTAACTCTACATGGAGGGCATCTCAAAGGTGATTTGCCAAGCTGCTTCCAGTCTCTGAACATACAAGTGTCACTACTGAAATACTTGGGGAAATAAACACACTGGTGTTTTATCAGAAACGTGCCTGGTGCTCTCACTAGCCCCGCTCTGGGAACGGTTCAGCACAGGCGGTTCTGTGGTGTTACACCTCTGCTCTCTGACAGCGAGGCAGTGCCTCCAGACTGTCAGCAGAACGGCCCGGCCGGCTGCTGTCAGACTCAAGGACTTGCTGAGAAATGAGGAAAGCAGAGATACCTAAAGCAGCAAGTCCCAGTGGATCTTGTATCCCTCCCCTCACACTTTATGTGATCCAATTCTGGTTATGAATTAGTGGTAACTGCTATTTCTTACTTGGTGGTGGGAAGCTTTTCTGAAATCCAAGAACTTCCAACGTGATGGAAGCCACGCGAGCAGCAGGGAGCAATATAAAGAAACTGGAACAAAATTAGCTGACAAACTCCCTTCAGGACACAGACGATCCCAACATTCTTACTCACCTGGGTACAGGTCACTCATGCTGTCGTCCGTCTCCTCTCCTTCCTCGTCGCTGGACTTTGGCTCCCAGAACTCCTCTTTTCTGTAAGGCTGCCTGCTCCCGTTCATTTCATCTTCAGGGTGCTGCATCCGCTGCTGCTTCTGTCGCAAGCAGGCAGGGACGTACTCCACTCCCTCCTTCTGGCACTTCTCATCTAACAGTGTGAGGCATCGGGCAGCACTCAGCAAGGCTACGCAGTCACCCGAGTCTTTTCCATTCCCACCTCTAGCTTATATTAAATTCAACTCAAACATACGTCAAGCTCCAGCTTCAACGTACATCCATGTAATCTACAGCGATGGCATGGACCATGAGAGACAGGAAAGATGTTAACACAGAGACTGGATGCTGGATGTATGAACCACCCTCTCTGGGGAAGTTTTAGAACCGCTCCTCTCAAGTGAGAATGTTTCTGAGGTATTCACTGGAGGCTGATTGCTCCCTATAGCTAGGATCTTCCTCCCCAGCTGAGAAGCATGCACAGCACCAGCAGTACACTACCATCAGTCTAAAGAAAACTGACCCCCTCCCTTCATGCAGATCTACAGGAATCTCAACAGCCCAGGGAAAAAAGTAGCCTGGTTACATCTTCAGAAAAGCTACTTACATGTTTTTAAGGCCTTTTGATAGCGCTTCCCTTGGACGTGACGCAGCACGTGCTCTGGAAATTTGTTGATGTGTCTGAGAGTGAGCTTGCAGAACAGCTGGTGTCTGACAGACACAGAAAGAAAAAGCCAGCAACAGAGTTTAAATATGCTATTACTTAATAACTTTTCACTTAAAAGCACTCTGCTCAAAGTTGATAAATACTTTATAAAGACTTTCCCAGTCTCCCAAACCCCATAAACACTCAAGAACTTTGTAAAGCTCAACCATTTTATGTCTGAGACTGAATAAAGTGCAAGGCATAAGAGACAAGAGGAAGAATACGTACAGATTCTTTGTGCTGGGCACTATATGGGGCTCAAACTTGGCATAGTCAAACTCTCTGGCTGTCTTCACCAGCCGCTGATACTTCTTGCCGTTGGTATAGGCCTGCAGCACCGACAGCCGACAGGGCATCTCATGGCCTGTCAGCCTGCATCTCACCTGAAGAAAAACGATGTCTGCTCAGGGAAGCCCAGGGGGTCAGCCCAGAGTGGGGAGAGCAGGAGACACCTCAAGCTCCCACCAGCGTCCTCCTCTGATCTCCACAGCGAGAGAAAAGCCTCCGGACCCGGGAGCTCACCGGGGCCAAGCCCATCTCCCGGGGTGCCCTCCCAGCCTGCTACCAACCGGCCTCGTCCCCCCTCACGGCCGCTTCAGGGGACGCGGCCCCGCCAACCCCTCACGAACCCCTCAGGGAGGCGGCCCCCGTCCACCCTCACGGCCTCCACCCTCCGCAGGCGGCCCCGGCTCTCAAGGCGCCCCTCCTCCTCGCACGGCCCGGTTCCGGTCCCACCTTGCCCGGCTCCGCCAGGCTGAGGAGCGGATGCTGCCGCAGGAATCGCCGCTCCTCCTCGGACACCTCAGCCACGGCCCCACCACCGCCGCCGCCGCCATGTCCCGCCGCCGCCATAGAGACGCGCCGCCAGACGGGAGCTCCCCTCCACTTCCGGTGCCGGCCCCGCCGGGGAGCAGCCGGCACCATAGAGAGGGGCGGCTAGAGCGGGGCCCCGCCGCGCCGGGAGTCTGCGGGCCGGAGGCGGGTGGCGGCGAGGGGCGCGGTGTTGCCATGGCGACAGGGAGGCTGCGGTTGCCGCTGCTGTTGCGGGAGCGTCAGGGCCGGGTGAGGGGAATGGGGTGCGGGGAACGGGAGGAGAGGGGTGAGGGGAACGGGAGAGGGCCGGGAAAGGGCTGAGGGGAGCGGGAGAGTGGAACGGGAGGAGAGGGGAGTGAGAGAGGGGTGAGGGGGACGGGAGAGAGGTGAGAGGAACGGGGAGCGGGAAACGGGAGAGGGGTGAGGGGAACGGGAGAGGGCCGGGAAAGGGCTGAGGGGAACGGGAGAGGGGTGAGGGGAACGGGAGAGGGCCGGGAAAGGGCTGAGGGGAACGGGAGAGGGCTGGACCCGGGCTGAGGGGAGCGGGGCCGGGCCGGGTAAGGCCCCGGCCCTGTCCGGGCCCGTCCCCCCGCGGGCCCGGCCCGGCTGCCCCCGCCGCCGCCTTGGGGACTCGCTTGACTGTGCGGGGTGAAGCGGTGCTAAAAGTGAGCGGAATCGGAGGCAAAAAGACTGTAAATGGGTCCTTGTGCCGTTCCAGCGTGGCAGGAAGGGGAGGAAAGAGGAGGGCAGGTGCTCAGCTGGCATCTGTTTCAAGAACAAATTAAGATGGTGTGTACGCTTGCTGATAGCATGGGTAGAAAGATCATTTGCTGTGCTATAGTCAGCTCTGAAACTGGAATTTTTGTTTTGTTTTTTTTTTTTTTTCTAAATGGAACCTAACCTATAATGTTTCACAGGCAGTTGCTCAGATGAAACTTAAATCAATGGGTGAACAAAATGTCATGCAATCATTGAGGCAATTAATATCACCTAGATACAAATTTTACTAAGCAGAGACGCTACAAAGGATCTTTCTTATTTCATGTAGGTATCTCACTGCTTGATCAGAACATTTTTTGGATATCCCCTAACTAAAGCAGGTTCTGGTCTCGTCCAGCAGACTAAAGGTAAGAAAAGATTTGTCTGGGCTTCTTCCCTGTTTCAACCTTATACTAAAAGGTGACATTTCCCGCAGGAATTTGGTGCCTCCTTTCCTGTACAAATCCTGTTCCTCATTCTGTTTTTCTTTAGATGTTTTTTTGAGATTCTGCAGACCACGAAGTTCTACAACAGCTGCTGATGCACCTGGAGAAGACATCTTACTCAAATGGGGCCTTTTCCTGGTCCCTCTGACCACATTCGGTCTCGGCACGTGGCAGGTACAAATACATATTCAATTTTTTCAAGAGATGAGCTCCTGAGGGCTGTCAGGATTTTCCATCTCTGGCTGTTTATGCTAGTTCAAATCACATGCAGGGTAAAGATTTGCAGTTATTTACGTTTCTGTTTTCCAGGTGTCCATTTGTAAGTCTTTAAATGAGAGATTCTTATTTTTTACAATTTTATTTCAGTATAAATATTTCCTCAAATTAAAGTCAGTAGCGTCTATTTTCATATCTCCAATTACCCTATTTTAGGCCAGGCCTGAGAAGAAACTTATGACAAAGATTTTAAGGCTTGCTGGGGTTATTGCATTGCTCTGTTTTACTGTAAGGAATTGCTTTTGTGTTCGTGTACTTTCAGGTTCAGCGACGAAAGTGGAAGTTAGATTTGATTGCACAACTGGCATCAAGAATTACATCAGAGCCCATCCCTCTGACGTTAGAGTAAGGAAACTGAGATAGTTTATTGTCTACAGAGCACTGACAGTGTGCTGGGGATGTTAGATATGGTCCCTGCGCTAATGAGCTTATACTAAACTAAGTTGCATGAAAATTAAGGAATGCAATGGGAATCAGGCCTTGCAAGCAAATTAGAAAACAGCCATACTGTTAATTTTCTTATTTTCAGTAAGAGAATAAGGGAGCTCTTCCCTAAGGGATACTTGAAATGCATGTAGAAAGGATGAATCTCTGTTCAGGAGAATGTGGTATGTAGTTCATCCCATATGAAATCCTCCTGGAGAAGGACTTGGTAGCTAGTGTCTGCGATATCCCAAAGGGATTATTCCTGCAATGTGGAGTCTTGGATCAATAGCATGCCCTGCCCAAAGTGCGGAGCAGTTGTGTCTGATAAGAGAGAGATTTTTAAGGTCTCTTGGCCATATGGCACAACTGTCCCAGTTCCATTTCATGGTCTGGGATGGGAAAGGAACGCTCCTGGTCGGCTGGATCCACCTGCTGATCAGCTGTGTGCGCCACTGAAGCAGCCCTGGGTTACCAGCATCAGGGAAAAAATGTGCTCTCAGGATACTCACAATCATCGTGATTTGATTCACTGTGATAATAAGAAAATATTAAGCCAGCTGCTTATTCCATGAGGTGTTTGTCTTCTCTTCCTGTTTGCCAACTGGCTCTAGAGTGAACCATTAGTGAAAAGGAGAATTCCATGATAAAATCCCCTAATTTGATTTGCATATCTCAGCCATGATTTTGTTTTCATCTTGTTCCATGCAGCCTCATGGAATTGAAGGAATTGGAGTACAGACCTGTAAAGGTCCGAGGGCATTTTGACCACTCCAAGGAGCTGTATATTTTGCCACGGTCACTTGTGGACCCTGAGCGAGAAGCCAGAGAAGCTGGACAGCTGACATCCCATCCAGAAAATGGAGCAAATGTCATTACTCCTTTCTACTGCACGGAACTAGGGTAGGTTAGTGGAAGTCAGGGTTCATGTAAGCAACTAGATTCTGTTTCGAAAAGCTGAATCACGGTGATTTGGTTTATATAAATCACATCTCTTACAGTCTGTTAGGTCACTGAGGCTTGATTTGAAATCGTATTTAAATTCCCCTATAATGTGTACTGAGGTGACAAAAAAGCAACACCAAACCTATGGGTTGCTTCTTTCTTTTGTACTTTCTTCTAGGCAGCAGCAGGAATACATTTCCTTTCACTCATCAGCTGTACTTCTTTGTGTAACTCTAGGGTCATGATTTTAGTCAACCGAGGATTTGTGCCCAAAAAGAAATTGAAACCGGAGACCAGGCTGAAAGGGCAGGTAAGGGGGGAGACTGGGAATGCTGCGTGTTGCCTTCTGCCCTTTGGTTGCCAGAGGCACTGCTGACAAGCCAGGAGTGCAGTAGCCATGTTCAGCATTGTGGGAAATTACTTAAATAGACATTGCACTTTTCAAATAAGGCAAACCTTTTCTTCCTGAAGAGGGTCCCAATACAGAGAGTGGTCCGAGTAACGACAATCGCCCTGATGCAGCTACATGTCGTCCCCCTTTATTGCCCGAATCACTTGGTTGGTTATATGCTTTTCAAAGCAAGCACCCGCTGTTCATGCACCCCATACCCCTTGATTATTGGTCATAAGCAACTTGCCACACACCCAAAGGGAAACTGTGATAGGCAAGCATCTTGCGGTTTGCTGCATACTTGTGTTTAGCTTAGCCAGCCACATAGCTGAGAAAATTCCTCATTAACAGATACAGTTCCTCACAACACAGCCCTTCAAGGTCATCCTGGTAACACAGGTGTTGCTAGCAGTCTGATCTCAGGCCTGGATTGTCCAAACCTTCCAACAAAATATCGTGGCCATTCTCTGTCAGAAATTCTACTACACTTCCCACCTTCTCCTTTTTAAAAAACATTGTTTACTTAACAAAGAGCTGTTCTTGATCTGCTTTTTTCCCTGCTGTGTTACAGTGCTACCCCACTGCAGGGCATGGTGACTTGATTTATATTCAGACCCCAAAAATGCTGTATTTTTCTACCAGGACCTGGTATGGCAGAATATGAAATGACCTTCGAAAGATTCCTTTTTTCTCTTCTGCATTTCTCTTCAGATTGAAGATGAAATTGATCTCGTTGGGGTGGTGAGGTTATCAGAAACCCGGAGACCTTTTGTGCCTGAAAATAACATAGAAAAAAACCGCTGGCACTACCGTGACCTGGAAGCCATGGCAAAGGTGACCGGCGCCGAGCCCATCTTTATCGATGCAGATTTCAGTAAGTCACAGAGGAACCCAACCCCACATCCAGTTTACATCCGTCTACCCCCTTTCCCTTCAGTTCGTTATTTCCCCATGGCACTCAGAAAGGTAGAATCATAGAATTATTTAGGTTAGAAAAGACCTTTAAGATCAAAAAGTCCAACAAGGTGTTGCATCTTTCTTTTTGTTCTGTGTGCTCTGCTAGGTCTATGTTGAAGGTGCTAGGCAGCCAGCGCAGGGGACGGTAGCGTGCTGGGAAGATGCAGGCGCTGTAGGGCTCTGCCTTTGCTGGTAACTTGGGAACACTGTTGCCTGAGGAAGAGCAGGCTATCCACACAACTGACCCCCCCTTCACCCCGTTTCTCAAAACAAGGGTGGCTCTACATGGTGCAGACGAGATTTAACCTGTGTGCTGTGTTGTACCTCTAGGAAGCACAGTCCCAGGGGGGCCCATCGGAGGCCAGACCAGGGTCAGCCTGAGAAACGAGCACATGCAGTACATCATCACCTGGTATGTTCCCCAGCGGGCGCTTGACCTTCCACGTTCCTTGGGAATGTAAAGCTTTGGCTGGCATTCTTACTCCTGCATCAGTGAGACTGGATGAGCTCTTAAGCTGCACAAGCTTTAACCAAAGTACCATTTGCAAAGTAATTTGAAGTAATTGCTTTATCACACTGCAGCTAACTTCAGGAGGTCCAGTCTATTTTGAAAAGGTGTAAATGTGTGATTTTGCTTTTTCATAGGTATGGCTTATGTGCTGCAACTTCATTCCTGTGGTACAGAAAATTTATACAAAAAATACCTCTGTGAAGGGCTCATCTCTTCTGTACGACAGTCAAGAGCAGACTTACAGAAGACAACGCTCTCAGCCCTGAACAACTGAAACACCCAGAGTTTCAGGGTAACACGCTCAGTAAACTTGTGCAGCTATTGAGCTGCAAATAAACTTCAAGCAACCCATGCAAACTCAGAGCTCCTACCAGTGCAAGTCTGGCTGCAGCTTGGAAGCTCTGAACTTCAGAATTGTGACTGCTACATCAATCAGCCTCACTAGAAATCTCAAGGATACCTTTTTCTACTGCGGTTGGCTGTAAGCTACGAAGTTTTAACTTCTCTGCTGCTGTATTTTCCAAAAGACATCAAGGGATTTTGTGAAGCAGTTTCTTCACACTGAGCAGTCACTCCTGAAGTCAGGAGTGGTTCACAGCAGTTGCATCAGCACAAATAAAGAGGGCCTAGAGAGGCTTGCCTTGTGACTTACATTGTGCATCTTTCATCTTAAGTAACCGACCTGCATTAAAGGTTACTGGGGATACTCAAGTCCAGCTGGGTAGGGCAGCCTGGGGCTTTGCAAGAGCATGGTAAAGGCTAGCAAAGGCCAGAAGCAGGCACCTCAGCTGGAGCCTTAGCAGGCTTGGTAGCCTCCCACAATACCAGAAGATCACATCAGCAGTCAGGAAGACAAGATCTAGATTCTTGTCCCACCACTTTAGCCTGCCTTCATTGACCATTCTGCCCTGGAAAAGGTGTTACAGACCTCCTCCTAGGTTAACTGGTTAACCTAGTGAAGTGCTGCAACACCCTCTAAAACCCACACTGTAACCAAGGCTTCAGTACTAATGGAGATTATCTAGAGCCATTTCCAATTGAGAGAAATTTGCATAAGCAAGCTGGGCTTAAAGCCAGACTTAGCCTAGCCCGTTCAACTTTATGATCACAGTGTGTACAGCTGAACTGCTGTTGATGGGCTGCGTGTTCAAAAGGAGAGCAAGGACAGCGTAGAACAAATAGTTAAGGGCAGTTGTTCCAAGTCATAACCTACTCTGTGCAGCGCTGTTCAACTGTTTGATGGAAGGCCAGAGAAGTAAGGCAATGCTCATGTGCTACTCACTGCCTGAACACACCCATTAACAGAAACCACTGAAACTTCATCTGGGGGTTTATTCTTTTTATGTACAGAAACAGAATAGCAATCCAGTACATCTTCAGCCCAGCTTAGTAGCCAGTTCTTTAGCCTTTGCTTTTTCAAGCTTAGCAATGCGAGCCACTGATTTTGGACCCAAAACATTACCGCCCCAGTGACGACGGATCTGCAAAGAAGCAAGAACAGGTTAGATGCTCTATACAATCTCACTATGTCATTCAAGCAATTTGCTCAATCCCACTCCTTTCTGCACAAGGGCAAGAGCTCCCTCAACTAGCAAGTTCTACACCTTTCAAACAGTCAACTACATTTCAGGGCAGCATAGAACAAGAGTTTAAAATCCCCATCAATGGTGCTAGATTCAGCCATCATGTAACTACTGGACTCGGAGGATGGAGTTGAGCCTAGCAGAAGCTGTTGCCCTCTCTACAATCCTAGCCCTGTAATAACTCCTTTTACTTAAAACTTGGTCACAGTGTTGGCATTTTATCCCACCCTCTGGTCAAGAATGTGGATACATCATAAGCAAGTCTGGGTACAACACACCCAACAGGCTTTAAACTGATGTCAGTATGCCTGAAGTAGTTTGCATTTCACTGAGAAGCTTTTGGGGATGTTAACAGGACAAACTAAAAAACAAGGCTAGCAGCAGAAACTCTTACCTCATCATATCTGTCATTGTAGTTGGTCTTGACAGCCTCCACCAGCTTTGCAAGGGCTCCCTTATCCTCCCTGTCGGCAATAGTTTTAGTTCCTTTAGAGCCTCAGTGTAACACTTCCCATGAATCTTTTGCCTCAGGATTTAAATGCTCATAGTGGCAATGTGATTTTTCAGGTTAAACATCATTTGCAAAGGGTGAAACACTCCAAACATCAATGCTTTAGGAACCCACACTGCTCAGATTAATAGTTCCATCTCTGTATTTCAGAATATGCATTCATTTTGGTAAATCAAAATAATCTGTATCTTCAGGATCCATATTTTAGACATTATTGAGGTAGTATTTTAGTTTTACTATGTTAAGTTAGAGACACCCATGTTTCTATCCATCTGCCCTGGTCTGTGCTCACAGGCAGTTTGCCTTCTCCACTACAGCGAATCAAGCCAGCACGCAGAATACTCACGGGTTAACCTGGGTGAAAGCAACAGAGGTGCAAGTTTTCCTGTGGACCAGTCGCCCCAGTCTGGCTTTGCCCTTGATGATGCAGTATGGCACTCCCATCTTGCGGCACAGAGCAGGCAAGAAAACCACCAGCTGAAAAGAAAAGGAAGGTGCTGTGCAACTGAAGGAGAACAGCTTTTTAGTTGTTGAATCTGGCTGGGCTGTGGCAATTGCTCAGTGTTAAAAAGCTCGTTTCGCTCTTCATTGTTGATTCAGGTGAAGAAATTCATACATCATTGCAAGGGCCAAGCCTCGTAATACCAGGACAACTATGAATATGCGTAAGTATTCCAGTTCTGGTAAACAGGTCTTTTTTATGAATTTATAAATGTATTTTTAGCCCAAACCCAGTTCTGACGCCATCTTAAATTACACAGGCAGCCTGTAACACGCCAGCAGCGAGTATGCTTACCTCAATGGGATCTACATCGTGGGCAATAACTACAAGCTGAGCTTTCTTGTTCTCTACCAGAGTTGTGACACTGTTAATACCTGAAAAACAAGTTATAGATAAACTTTGATTCTGCCCAGTCTATTTTCAAAGCTTTCAAATAAGCCTCATACAGCCAGCTCAGTTTCCATAGCACAGCTTCACTGTGGAAGTTGTAAAAGCTTTTCCCATTCATTCAGTGGCACAAAGATGATATTCATGGACAATCTGCTAAAGCTCAGGGTTAAAAAGCTCGTCTGTTTTGCTCTTCACTTTGAGCTCAGGTGAAGAAATTCATACATCATGGCAATAGCTTGTCCAATCCTGTCTGGTTGGAGCAGAGCACCAACAGTTTTCTCTCCAAAGCACCACGCTCCCATATATTCAAGCAGCCAAATCCACGTACAAAGTTACCTGCTCGGAGGACCGGTGGCCGCTTAGTTGGTGCATCTCCCTTTCCTGCAGCTTTTTGCTCAGCACGAGCCAGGAGCCTCTGCTTCTTCTCTTGCTTATTTTCTGGCCTGTATTTGTGTGCCAGCTTCAGAAGCTGTGTAGCTGGAAGAGAATATCTACTAGTTAGTTGTAAGACCTGAAAAATGTAAGCATTACTTATTAAAATACTGAAGTGCATCAGCGATCTTGGTGGTTGTCATCAAGTGTATTTGTACAGCAAGAAGTTATCAAAGTTATCATTTGCACAGCATAAGAGCAGAGCTGGAGGAGCACCTCCAGAGCCCGTATTTACCTCTAGGTGCAACTCTTGGCAATGGGAGCTCCTTCACTGTTGGTATGAGGAAATGCCTGTAGACCCCCACAGCAATTACGGTTAAAGGTTAGGGTTAGAGCAAGCAGTTTGTCTGGCAACATCTACGAGGGAGTTACTCTACATAAACTGAAAGTTTTTCGCATAGATCCTGTCACCTGGAAAAGACTATTTACTCATTCACATGGGACCCTGAGATCCCTGTTTCAAGGTCAGCCTGCACGATGTTGGCTTTCCCACCAAAGCCTGCACTCATACACATTTATCAAACTGTTTACATGGTTAGAGGAACCCTGCATGTTCTACATTCAGCTGCAAGAATGGACTCTGATGGAAGCATACAGTTAAAAAGAATTCTGCGTTGGGGTCTTTAATTAGGATCTCTGGTATTTTCTATTCCCTTTTCAAAGCAGATAGCAGCTACCAAGACTTAAGCCAAATTCAGACAACACCTTGCTGTTCACATCACCCTAATCACTACTAACGTCTCAATGCTTCCAAAGATATTCTCCAGCTTACCTTAAGTCTCATTTTAGCTTCTCTCCTCTTCTCTGAGGCATATCCCATTAACAACCCAAGCCAAGAGAACATTGTCCTTACCTGTCTGGCGGTCCAAAGCCTGAGTGAACTGGTTAATGGCAGGAGGCACCTTCAAGCGTTTGTAGAGAATGGACCTCTGGCGCTGCAGTCTGATGTAGCGTGGCCATTTCACAAAACGTGTGAGATCGCGCTTCGGCTGGATATCCTGTCCTAAAAATACAGACTTTAACTCAAAGCTGTCCCAAACCCACAGCACAACAGAATGGAAGAGGCACGAGTGCATCAGTGATCTTGGTGGCAACGTGTCAGCACGATCACTCAGATAGCAAATATTCTTTCACATCATCTGCACACCGTACAAAAAAGGCACTAGAGAAGTCTGAACCAATTTACCACACCACGTGCAACAGGGCAAGATTCATCGCAATAGAATCATATAATGAATCTTTGTAGCACAGGAAATTCGGCAAATCATTCATAGCCACCTTCATATATCTAATGAAGGATGGCTCTTAATTGCAGGCAGCAAAGCAACTGCCACCATCACTCCCTCCACTCCATAGCTTTATTACAAGACGCTTCTGTTTACGATTTAGACATCTGTCTATAAAACAAACCAAACAAAATAAACCTTAAGTGAGCAGCCCAAACACTCACTTACTCACCAATGCCAAAGTTCTTGGGCCTCTTCTCAAAGAGCGGGTTGACAACCTTCTTAGCCTCCTGCTTCTTGACTACAGCAGGGGCCGGTGCCACCTTCTTGCCCTTGGCCTTCTTTCCTTTCGGCTGCAAGTAAGAAACACATTCTTCCTTTTTTTGCCTCAAATACTTGTGTATTTAAGAGCTTTCAATCCACCTTGGAAATACATTTTCCCAGGCACTTCACCGGCCTGGCAGCCTCCCAGCCTAGCCCGGCTCTTCCAGACAGCGAATCCTTCGCTTTCATTTTACGAGACTTATGAACCTCCCCGAGGGTCACGCCGTTTAAAACCGCGGGTTTCTCCCCTCAGCCGGGCAGCAACCGCCCAGGCCGCGCCTGGCGCTCCCCAGCCCAGCTCCCCCCGACACCCCCCCACCGCGGCCCGCTCGGCCCCCTCCCTCTGCGAGCGGCCGCAATCGGGGTCACCGCAACGCCTGCACCGGGAAACCCGCCGCGGCCCAGCCGGGAAGCCCGGACCGACCGCGGTCACCGCGAACCAAACACCCCTACCGCCGCGCTTCCAGGCTACCGAGCACCCGCACGGCGCTCCCCACCGGGCCATGGCGCAGCGATGCAGGCGGATGAGGCCGGATGGCGGCAGATACCTGCAGCCCCCTCCCCGCCGCCGCCACCACTCACCATCTTGGACAGAGGAAGAGAAAGGCGGAGCGGTGCATGCTGGGAAGTATCTACGCGGCGCGACTTCTCGCGAGAGGACGGCGGGACGCGGCCGGGACGGGTGGGGGCGGGGGGAAGGGGCGCGAGGGCCGAGATGGCGCAGCAGCGGGTCCTGCCGCAGAGCAAGGAGACCCTGCTGCAGTCCTACAACAAGCGCCTCAAGGACGACGTCAAGTCTATCATGGACAACTTCACCGAAATCATCAAGACGGCTAAGGTGGGTCTGGGCCTCTGTCGAGCCCCGAGGGGAGGGGACCGCGCCCGCTGGAGCGCCCGGGCTCCTGAGGGGAGAAGGGCGGGTTTCTCCTGAGGAAGGCTCTGAGGGGAGAGGGGGCGGCCGTGAAGGGAGAGCGAGCTCCTGAGGGGAGGGCGGCGGCGGCACCTTCTTCCCTGTTCCCCCGAGGGCGGCCGTGAGGGAGGAGGGTTCTTTCCCCGTAGCGGGCGGTGGTCGGTTCCCCCCGGCTGCTGCTGGTCCCTGCCCCCGCCCTCCGGAGCCGAGCGACGTTGCTGAATGCGGGAGAACCGCAGAAGCAAGCGGGGAGGGGAGCAAAGATGATCCGTTGGATGTTGTAGGGTCCCAGAGGCCACCCCAAGGATTCCAGGTGTGGATTGAACTGAGATGCCTTATGATGTAGTAATTATCTATCAGGATTTCAGTATGTAAAGTACATATACGTTTTTCTTTAGATTGAGGATGAAACTCAAGTCTCTCGAGCAACCCAGGGTGAACAAGATAACTATGAGATGCATGTCAGAGCTGCAAACATTGTGAGTAGCATTCTGCTGTTCAAATCAGTGGGCAGAACAACCTTCAGGTACTGTTGGGTTCATTATTGCATCTAGGGCAGCCTTCAGTAACCTGGTACTTGGGATGGCTGGGGAAAGCTGGGTAGTGTGGCTTGCCAGCTACAGGCTTCTGTCAGAATCCTCACATAGCATGGGAGTTTTTATTTTATTGAAAGCTTGGGCTGAAGGATCAGCTTGGAAGATCAAGCTATAGAATTGGAGCAAAGCACTGTCTTGATGTGCTGTGTGCTATGTGATTTGTCTCCCTGCTAAAGGTCCGAGCTGGTGAGTCCCTGATGAAACTTGTGTCTGACCTGAAGCAGTTCTTGATCCTCAATGATTTCCCCTCTGTGAATGAAGCTATCAACCAGCGCAACCAGCAGCTGAGAAGCATGCAGGAGGAATGTGACAAAAAGTTGATTGCACTACGGGATGAGATCTCCATTGACCTGTACGAGCTAGAAGAAGAATATTACTCTTCCAGGTACAAATAGGGTAGTGGACTTCTACTTTATGACTCCAGCCCTTTTGGGGTAGTTACTCCAGACAAACAAGTAGTCCTGAGAGTATAGGTCTTGAGAATGTTCCCAGCAAATTTTCACTTCTGTTTTTAATTAGGTCAGACTTTTTTTCTGCCACTAAAGCAACTGCCTTTTCCCTGTAGATACCCTACAGGGTATAAATGTCACGGTGAAGAAGGTATTCACAGCATCCAACTCTAGGTGCCTGCTTTAGTTGGCTAGATTTGACAGATAGTTTGCTTAGACTTCCTTTGTAATCATTGTTAAAGGAGATGAATTTCCTTGGGGGTGTAGGCTTCTATCTGAGTATCCCTCTGGAGAAGCCTCTCTCTTTCTCCATAGAGAGACTAGCTTGCTGAGCTGGGTCCTAATGTTAGATGAGATCACCACGTCTTTGTGGTGAGTTCTTTCACAAGTGACCTGGCCTACACAGTGTGCCTTTTTCCATGTAGTCCACTGGCCCTGGCTGCCTGCAGCCTGTCGGGTGAACATCTGAAATGAGCAAAGAAGACTTGCTCAGTTTCATTCAATTTTGAAGTATTGTGATAGGATTTTCTATGGAATATTGACTTATCAGTGATTTATTTTGTGGGATTTCTAATATTTTAAAAAGACTCTTAGCAAACAGGCTTTAGAGAATTCAGACACTTTATTTTTTTATTTTCTGTCATGCACTCCAGCACTTCTAGTTGATGATGCAGAAAATGAAAGCAGGAGGAAACAAATGAGAACCTGATTATTTTACTGCACTGTCCAAGCTGAGTGAAGTCGGTGCAATAATGCTATGACTTTTAAACAGAAACTTCACTTTTGGAAATCTTATTTAGAATTTAAATGACCAGGTTTTCTATTTTTGCCTTTCCCTTCTTTCTAAAAATGCTGAATGCCTATAACCCCAGCTAAGTCAACTAAAACTCTAATTGCTCAATATCTTCGGAAGTTAGGCCATTATTTATGGGTAATATATGTAGTTTTTAGGGGTACTATATGTAGTTTAAGACTAAAAATATATTGATATGATATAGCTTAGGAACTGATACAACATTGGAAAAAAACTGGAAGTAAAAGTTTTGAGTTGTTTTTAAAACTTTACTCAGTTTTTTGAGGGGGTGGCAAGGGATCCTAGAAATATCTCAGAAATGGAGAGTGATGGTCACAGACCCAAGCACCAGTCCAGGCCCTGAGAGGTCAGGGGTGCGTCTGCTACAGAGGCTGCATACAGCATAGCAGTGAGCTGTATCCGAAGCGATGCGGTGTGGGATGATAGTGCCTCACGTGTGCCAGACATGCTTCCCTCACACTGTCACCAGACTGCCACCACTGTGTTTCAGTACCTTTAACTTCTGGACTAAGTGGTTGTGACCATGCTGGCGTGGTCTGTTCACCTGCCTGGCACCAGATGCCATGTAAAGCAACCCTTTGTAGCAGAACTAACATCTAAGCACAAATGTTGGCATACACCAAACGGATTTGCCTTTGTGCTATTTTCTTGTAAGAGTGGTCATGAGGTGAGGAAACTTGGCAACTCTATAGAGCTATCTATGATCCCTCCACTGAAACCTGTTATCATGTAGCACTTAGTTGTTTACTTTTAGCACTTATTCCCTTCCTGTGCTCTTTCTTGTCTTTTTCTGCACCAAAGAAATTGTGTGTGTGTAAATATAGAAACTGATTTATTCAAACTCCTTTTATAATTAGAGTACTAAGATATTTTTAATGAAACTTATTGTCTAATGTGGGGGAAAAGGGTTTCAGTTATGTCACAGAGAATCATGTTTAAAAGGCTGTAAATGCGGTCGCTGGTTTGCCCACAAATGGGCATTCCGTGCTGTCCTGGGAGCCCAGCTGGGCTTCCCTCTCTGCACCATCTGTTACTTTCTTGTGGGGCTTGGTCCCACAGGATTTATAAAGAGGGGTGCAGTCCCATGAGGCCAGGAAATGGGTTCCATACAGCCGTCCTGCCAAACTGCTCCCTCATGCTCCCGTTTCCCTGAAGGTCACCAGTTAGTTTATTTTAGGTCATCCCTCCAGGGGGGGCTGCAGAAAAGTGAGCTCCATGCAGCAACGACCTCCAGGTGCTGCAGAGCCAAGAGCTGCCCCGTGCTGTGCAGCTTGTCTGGTTCCTGTGCACTGCTCCTGACAGCTGTGAAAAGCCGGTGGAAGGGAGTGTGTCCTGCCCAGCATTGTCACTGCCATCATGCTAACGGGGCTTAGGAGGCAGCCCCATGCCCATAGTGAGTAACTAACGGGATGTGCCTCAGTTGTAGGGTCAGGTTCCATTGTTAGGCTTTTTATGTGTACGTGGGGGTTCTGATGAGACCTGGAAGTGGGTCCTTGAAACTAAATCTGAGCAGATTGTTCTGAAGGAATCTTTGCTTTAAGTCCCTGTGTTCAGGTAGTTTCCTTGAGCTGTTCCTCTGCACACAGACCTGGCTGCATGCCCCAAGGGGGATGCATGCACTGAGAAACCCTCAGAGGACAGAGTAGCAGGTTGGGTTGTGCTGTTGTGGGCTGTGCAGTAGCTTGTCATTCACCTTGACTTTTGAGGAGTGTTACATGAGAGGCGAATCTTAGATTTTTGGAACTATTCTAACTGGGGCAGCAGGAGAAGCAGTTATGCTTCTGACACAGCAAACATTTTCTTAGTAACTCACCTGCCAAGATGTGGTGGATGCTGCGACCAAGTTCTTGGAAACCATGGCCTGAGGTCTCAGGCTGACAGAAAAGGAGTTGTAGTTCTGGTTCAGTCCTGAAAGTCTTTGCTAATTGAACACAGCTTCACCATGTGTTGGGGGCTGTAGGGAAGGGTGATCTTCCAAGGGATTTTACAAAGGCCCCAGATATAAAACCTGTATCCACTGCCTTCTTACTTCTACTGCAAAGCCAGATGGGTGATGCTGCCAGATAAGAGCTCAGAAGTAGTTGCTTGCAACTAGTGCTTTGTGTGCTTATTCCCCAAAGCGGTAACTCCAAGTCCAGCTTGCCTTCTCTCATCCTAAACCCCAAACTTGCATTAATGTTCCATTGCTCCCTCCTCTGAGATCACAGGAGCTGTCTTGAGTGTGAGGTTAGATCTCAACATGTTTCATGTTTGTGCAATTTGAAGTGTCTCATATTTCTACACTTAAAATATTTCCCAAAGCATCTATTCAAGTCCATACATTAAAAATGTAAATAAAGCTGCAACAACAAAATCACTTGACCCATGGGGTTTCTTTTACTCTGAATGCAAGCTGCTTTCTGCTCCAGCACTCACTTTGTCTTAGGTGTCTCTTGTGTGTGCAGCTCCTTCCTCTCTTTGGAATTTGTTTCAGTTTTGTTCCAGTTTCTTCCATCATTTTTCTGTTTAGTTTTGGCCCTTCCACATCATGTTTTCCTCAGACCGCAGGCAAGAATTAGCCAGTTGTTTAAAAACTACTTTCCCACACTGCTGGTTCATGCACCTCTGTAGTCTACAGTGGTCAAATGTAGCAAGTTGCTTTTAAAAGAACAGCTCAGGTTCTGCTGAAAATGGGAGGAGCTGTTAGTACTTCATAGTCAGGCTGAGGAGCTTCAATAGAAGATCCAGACCTTCTGTGGGGCACTTTATTGAAAGGGCAGGGGTGCAAATAGGTTTCTTCTCTATCATGACAGGGTCAGGCCCTAAAATAATTGTGCTAGCTTTTCTGTTGAACTTAAATTTAGAGCAGGGTTTCCATTTTTTAACTCACATAGGTTGTGATCTAATTCCAAGTGAATGGATGAGGTCTTTGCCTCTCTCAAACCAGTAGCAGAACTCCCATCTTTGGTGTGCCAGGACTTCAGCCCAGATCTTTTCAGGGTCTTAAAGCATCTAGATGAGAATTGAGTCTCTGTTTCAATTTATAGCAATAGTTCTGTCTTTGAAATTTCTGTGATCCTCACCAGGCCCATGAGGTTCAAGGGCAGCCCTTAAGGGTATCCTGGGGAAGGCCAGTGTCGCAAGACTTGTGGTGAATTTGTGAACGCAGACCTTACATCCATGAACGTTTTTTTGCCATTTTCTTAATGCTTTGCTTCTGTCTTGCTCCTCCCACCCTCTCCCTCCCTCCCCTCCTCTCTTACTGCACCTGCTGTCTCTCCTTACTGGGGTTATTTGTTCTGGAAAGCTACAGTCTGTGTGACAGCAATGATCTTCCACTGTGCGAAGCCTACTGGAGACAAGACTTTGCCACGCTGTCCCCTGAGAGCCCTTCCATGCCTCTGACAGCTGCCGCAGCAGAGCAGAGTGTTGCTACCTCCCAGAGCTCAACCCCATCGCACCCTCATGTGAACGGGCACGGGGCAGGCCCCACGGAGCACTCCTAAAGAGGATCCTCTGCTGCTGAACCCACTCCTCCTGGCAGCACCATGCTGCTGGAAGTCTTCCACCGCTGCACTGAGGAAGTGTCTCCCACTGTCAGGAGAAGGCACTGGAGCTGTGTCTGCAGGTTTTTGCTGCCTGGATAGCCACAGTGCTTTCTCCACCCCTGGGACATTGCCATGAGTGTTCCTCTCCCTTAAGAGAATGTGATCAGTAAATACAAAGTTGATTGTTCTAACAAATTAGAATTAAGTTTGCTTTAACATGACAGTTACGTGTAGAGTTCATTAGAAATCCAGTTTCTAATGTCTAATTCCATGTGAGTCTCAATAAGTACACACTGGAGTGTGTGGAGTTGACTTTGTTTGGGATAAACTTGAGCCAAATGTGGGAATAGTGAGTGTTTTGGGGTTTCTACCCTGCTTTCCAAGGTTACTGACATTCTGGCTGCTTTAAAGCTTTCTCAGGATGGCATCTGACGACCACAGCTCTACTTAACCAGAGTAAGAATCTTGTAGTATTTTTTTACACAGCAGCCTTCACTGTCATAGAGCTTCACAAACTTGAACTTCCTGCTTGCAGTCATTTGGGAAGAGGCTCTCAGGAGACCTTTACCAAGGAGCAGTGGTCTCTCTTTTGAAAAAGGCAAACAGGTATCCATGATGCCACTTGCTCAAGGCCGCAGCTAGAAGCAGCAACATACTTTCATTAGTCCAGTCTGTTTTTCATTGTTGACACAGAAACCTTCTGTTAACATACTCTGAGCAAAATCTTGAGCTGACTGGGGTGTAGGGAGCAGTGAGGGATACTCAGTGACTCCTGCAGTTTCATTCCAAAGCAGCACATTTGGCGCTTTTTCTGCGGCTGTTCCGCGTTCCCTCAAACCGCGCAACTGGAACGGGGCTGGGGTTGAACTGGGATACAGCCGTTGGCAGCTGAGCCCGGCTCCCCCTGCACCCTGCTGTAACCTCTTGTTCCTTAGGATGTGAATTTTGGTATACGTTTCATTTTATTTTTCTTCTGTTCCATTTTATTTTTGTAACGAGGTGGTTTAATAAAACTAACTTTTGTATCATTTTTTGAGCGTGTGTTTTCAGCCACAAGGCTTTGTGGAAACAGGGTGACGATAAGCAGGCACGTTCCCCCCCACCCCGGATTCTGCAGACACCCCACCCCTCGCAGGGTCTGCGGCCCTGCCTGCGCCCCAAAAACCATCAATATCCCGGAGCCCCCCCACCCGCGCCGGCAGCGATTTGAACCGCTCCCGGTCTGTCTCCTCCAAGCCGGCCATGGCTTGAGCCTGGCTGCGCTGGTCGGGCCGAGAAGACCCCCTCCGCCCCCCAAAATACCACCCGTTTGTCGGGGGCACCCTGAGGCTTCGCGGGGGGGTGGGGGGGAGGGTGTCTCGGCGCCGGTCGCGGCGCTGCCGTCACTTCCCGGTTTCGCTGAGGTCACTTCCCGCCGCGCTCCCCCCTCCCGGTGCCCTGAGGCGGGAACGGGGCGTGTGGGGCCCGTCCGCGCTGGGGGAGCCGGGCTCGGGCAGGGGCCGCCCGCCCCGCGGCGATGGCCAGCCTGGCCGCCCAGGACTCCTACCTGCAGGGCTTGGCGAGGAAGGTCTGCCAGCAGCACGCCCCGGAGTCGCGGAAGAGGAAATTCGGTAAAGGAGCTGTAATGTTTCAGCTTCTGCCCTTCCCGGCCGGTTTTGGGGGGGGTGTCTGGGCCTGGGACAGGCTTGCCCCCACAGGGTTTTCGGCCTGAGGGAGTGGCCGAAAAAACAACCTCTGCTGAAACCACGGGGTTTCTGAGCACGTTGTGAAGCCCCGGGGGTTGGTGGTCTCCGTTCACTTTTATACACGTCCTGATTGGGTGTGGGAGAATTGGGGTTTTACTGGTGTATGCGAGCATGTTTGGTCTATTTAAATAAATCCTGAAATATGTCATTTTTGAAGATTGAGATCTGCCACTGCAATGCTGTAACTTTAGTCTTCATTAACAACAATGTTATGAAGTGGGAATGTAGCGTTGTCCTGTTTTGTGTAATTTGGTTTTGCCTTCTAGTGTCTAAGCCAGGCCAACCTGAGGATGCTGGCAGACAGCTCAAGAAAAAGAAGAGAAAGAAACCCAGGAAGCAAGCTGAGAATTCAAATGCTCCTTCAGTCAAACAGGGGGTCTCTAACACCAATAAACCTACTCCAGGACAGAAAACAGCCCCTCAAGCCAGCAAATCATCTCCACAGGGTGTTACACAGAGCAGAAATGAGAGTTTGGTTACAGGTAAGAATACCAGAGTTGCCATGGTCTGGTTAAAGTTACCAGAGCTGAGGTGGCTGCTTTTCAGTTGCTTCACACGTGCCTAGTTCGGAAAACCTTTAAGAAGTTCATCTGAATTGAAAACATGCTTGCTTATTCCATGTGCCCTAAAAGCTTTTGCATGTGTAACAGAAATTTGTAATGTCACCACTGGGTGGCTCTCCCGAAATAGTGCCTAAACAGAATTGCAATCTTTTTATGTATTTGGGTAACTTCTGGGAATTGCCTTGTGGATGCAATCTCTGTCATGCCAGGCTGACTTTCCGTTATGAATCTGAAAAGCCTTATCACAATGAAAAGATGTCCTTGGTGTCTTTGTTTCCACTAGCTTGGTACTTGTCTTCTGGCTTGTTAGACAGCCCCAGGGCATGCCAGGCCCCTCTGGCTGGGAGTGCTGAATGATAATACGGATAGAAAAGGGGGAATTCTAAAGAAACCAATGAGATAGAAACTCTGAGTTTGTTTAGATTTTCTGTTCTATGTTTTATTCACAGTATCTAAAGAGTTCTTGGAGCTTTTCCCATAGCCATAGAAAGTTCTTTTAGCTAGTGCTGTCTTTGAAGTATTTTTATTTTCTTCCTCTCATTTTCAGGGAGCAAAAGTGAACCGGGTTCCCCTTCCTTTTCTGCAATGAATCTCTTGCGTCAAAGACTACATGAGAAGATGAAAAAAGCTTCTGGACAAGTATGGGAACTCTTAGTATATATCCATCTGTGTTTATGCAATATAAATTCTCCCTAGCCTCCCAGGAGATGTGGGGACAAGACTATGATCTTACCAGGCTCAGAGTTCGAGCTAATTCCGTCTCCTGAGCAAGCGTCTGTAGGTATTGCTGAGAAGCCTGTGTGTATTCTGTGGTCTGGAAAAACATGTGAGAAAAGGTGGGGCCTGGGTTGGAGGAGAGCATGCCTCTGGTGATTTTTAGGAAAAAGAAGAGCCCTAAGCCTGAAAGGGAACACAGCTATGCGGTGCTGAGAGAGAGTAAAGGGTTTGAAATGCTTTCATTGTGTTTAGTATCTCTAAAAGCTGAGGCCACAGCTTCTTGTCATGAGTAGTTTGTTTCTTAGAAGTTTGAAATCAGGAACTTGACGGCATCCCGCTTTTAATACTGCTTTATCCCTTTAAGGCTCTTGAGTCATGTCCATCCTTCTCTTTAGGTTGATGTCAAAGAATTACCCCCTGCAGTCCTGGAGAAGAGGCAGCGAAGGAAGTATGAGAGAGAGAGAAAGAAGCGCAGAAGAAAGGAGTTGAAGATGAAGGCAAAAATGGAGAAGAAAGAAACTGAAGAGGTACCAGTAGAGCCAGAAAGCAAAAAGGAGGAGAGAACAGCTGAGACTGTCTTTAACAGGGTTGAAGTCCATGAAGAGAATGAGTTGAGCAAGATCCAGAAGAAGAAAGAGAAGAGGAAAGCAGTGAAAGGCAATATCACTCCTCTGACAGGCAAAAACTATAAGCAGCTGCTGAGCAGGCTGGAGACCAGGAAGAATAAGCTGGAGGAGCTCCAGGATAAGGACCAGAAGAAAGCTCAGGAACTGGAAAACAAGATGAAATGGACAAATGCTCTCTATAAGGCGGAAGGCGTGAAGATTCGTGACAATGAGGAGCGTCTGAAAGAAGCTCTGAAGCGTAAGGAGAAGCGTAAAGCACAGCGCCAAAAGCAGTGGGAGAAGCGGACAGAAAAAGTGGTGGAAAGGATGCAACAGCGGCAGGAAAAGCGTCGCAAGAACATTCAGAAGAAGAAGAAGGACAGGATAGAGAAGAAGAAAGCCAGGGCCCGGAAGAAAGGCCGGGTTCTGCCAGAGGACTTGAAAAAAGCTGGCTTAAAGTGAGAGCGAGGCAGCTGGACCTTGCAGCCTGGGCATGGAAATTCCGCGTGCGGGGGCCAATGCTGAAGTGTTGCAGAGCCACCCTCTGCCTGCCTGATGTGGCCGGGTGACCGCTGGCCAGGAGGAGGTGGCACCCGAGGAAACCAGCCTGGGGGGGGGCAGCCACTGCCATGGCTTCCCAACTTCGTGATTAAAAAAACAAAACAAAAAACAGTTGTATATTTGTTAATTAAATTTCCTATCCCAAAGAGACACCTTGTTGTTGGTTTACTGTAATAATTACTTCTAATTTCCCTGAAAGGGAGATGTCGGACCGCCTCTGGCGCTGGAGGCGTCTCGAAGCCCTCAGGCTCCCGCCATCCCGGCGGGGGCGGGGCATCGCGGGGCGGGGCGATATTAGGCCCCGCCTCCCTCCCCGTTGCTATGGCGGCGCGCGACGCGACCGCTGGGGCCTGCGGCGCGAGCGCTGCTGAGGGGAGCGGGCGCCCTGAGGGGACGGGGCGGCGGGAGGTGGCGGAAGGGCTTTTCCCCCTTCGCCCCAGCGTCCTCAAACTGGTAAACTTCATCACCTAGGCGTTTCTAAATCCTCCGAATGCTTTGCCTGAAGTAATGTTAGTAGAAGCCATGCGGTAGGCATGTAGTTTCACCCTTAGGGTGGACTTTTGGAACTGCAATGTTCTGTCTCCCCTGGGCACCTGGCCATCGCAATTCTTCTGCAGACAGGCCTGGAAGTCGGCTTGCTGGGCCACATGCAGCGGACAGGGACTGTGCGCCTGGTTCCCGGCGGGGAAGTCTGCAGACAGATCTTTGAGGCTGAGGTAACAAAAAAAATTAAGGATTGAGAAAAAGCCTAATGAGTTACATTGGTCAGTTGCTTGCTGGCTGTGAAAGTGATGACCTCAAACCAGAGGTCAATTTCAACCTTTCTGTTTTTTGTTTGTTTTGCTAGAAAAATTGTCTTCCTTTCAGGATATGCTTTCTAATGCATCTATGGGTGCTCCTGTGTCTTCACTGTGTATCAGGATATATTAACTGAAGGCAGAATCATTATAACACAGCAGTAAAAGATAAGAGGCATAGTAAGCCAGATTCGGGCATTTCTCACTCTGCTGTTGACTTTCCTTGTAACAATAAGCAAGGCACAGAATTTAGTTTGCTTCAGTTTTCCTCTCTAAGAAAAGGGATATATATATTTTTTTTTTCATTTTGAAAGCAGCCTTGGATGAAAATTGCTATACATGTGCCAAATAATGTTCATTTATTTTACCTTTCTCTCCTGCCACCTTTCCCCTACTATTTTTATCAGTTATTTTATTACTATTCTCTGTTCAGTAGGTTGGAAAGAATTCTAACCATTTTGATTATGGTTCTCTGAAGGTTCACTTAGTACGCTCTTTGGATGAAGTAAGGAACAAGACTAGGTTTTCTATGAAGAACAAAAGGCTCACTTTACTTAGGGATTCCAAAATTTCTACTGATGCCAGGCCACTACCATGTTACCAGCAGAAGCGTGTTGAAAGAACGCCCTACAATGACTCCACAGAAATGCAACCACTGTGCAGGTAGAGAACACTAGCATAAAAACCCAATTATATATTCATGACGTATATGAAAGTATGAAGTTGTAAGATTTGCACTGGGAACTAGACACTCCTGAAGTCTTGGTCACAGCACTAATGACTTGTAATAGACTGTCTCCTTGCCAGAAGTAAAATGAGTATAATGAGCCTTTTAAAGCGAAGATTAACAGGCTAATATTTGCAATGGCATACATATTGTTTGGCTTTTCTTTTAAAAATGAATCGTATGGCTTTTTTGTTCAAAGCAATCTAGATATAAGCCCAGTCTGATATATATTTTTGAACTATATTTTAAACTATGTTAATGGTTTACATGATGATGCAGTAATGAATATGTAATGAGCAAGAAAAGAAATTAGTG